AAAAAAAAAAAAAAAATACAAGAGGATGTGTGTCAATTATATGCAAATATACCATATTATATAAAGGACTTGAGCATCTGTAGGTGTTGGTATTTGTAGGGGTCCTAGGACCGATCCTCCAGAGATACTGAGGGCTGACTGGATCTCACAACAGCCCTATGAGGTATTTCACAAACTATAAGATAAGGAAATTAAGGCCCAAGGGGCTGGGGATTTAGCTCAGCGGCAAAGCGCCTGCCTGGCAAGTGCAAGGTCGTGAGTTCGGTTCCTGGTACCGGAGAAAAACCAAAAAAAAAAAAAGAAATTAAGGCCCAGAACATTTCTATCCTCAGGTGGCAGGCATATATTAGTAGGATCAAGCAAAAGGCTCCAGGGCTCTACTGTAAATACAATGAACACTAGCCTGGCTACTGTCACCTAAAGTTATTTAAATAAATAGAACTTGGAATTCAGTTCCTTGGGGACACACACCTCATGTGCTCAACAGCTGCACATTCCCAGTGGCATGTCCCGCCACCCCGTGGGGAACAAAAGAGAGGGAAATGAGCATGGGGGTGGTGAAGAAACAAAGCGAGAACTTGGCTGTTTGCGGTGCAGCACTTGGTAGGTTTAGAGCAGGGAAGTGAATACTTACATTTTCAAGAGTCTCTCTGAGCAACCAGGTGTGGACGGAAAACCACAGGGTCCAACATGGAGGCTGGGAGAACTGTTAGGAGGCTGGGGCAGCCAGCAGGCCAGCTGGAGACACTGAAAAGAGCAGAGGTGAGCAGGTTTCACCCCATGAATAGCTCTTCATACTGGATGTCCTGGAGCACTCTGCCAAATATCCTCCTGGTTCACTCACTCGTCTCTTTGAAGGCTTTCTTCCTGCCTCAGAAAAGCCTTTCTTCTCCACTTCACTGCTGTATTTTTGTCCTTATCCAAGCTAGTATACAATGTATGTTCCTGATTTTATTTACTATGCATGCAAGAGCCCATATAACAGTACGAAGTTTGACATCTTTGATCATTGTTAAATCCCCAGCATCTACAGCAGCACCTGCCATAAACTGGATTGTTACTGTTTGTGTCTGGATGTCCCCCAAAGACTCAAACAGTTAAGGGGAGTGGGTTTTCAGAGGCAGCTGAATCTAGAGTTATGACTGATTCATGGTCTAATGCTGGGATTAAGGATATGAATACTACACCCATCCTATGGCTACATGTACGGTATGTAGCCTGCATACAAGGGACAAAAAGAGGCTTGTTTTCCCCTCCTCTCTTACTGCTTTTGCTGTTTTCCACCACTATGAACTGTTGCCCCTCTGGCATGTGCCACTCTGTCTAGGAGCCAGCCAACTGTAGACTGAAACCTCTACAAACTGTGAGCTAAGCAAATCTTTCCTCCTTTAACCTTGAGTGTTAGGTATTTTTGTCTCACCAATGAGAAAAGTAACTAAGACATGGACCCTCAAGAAACATTGTGAATCAATGAATGAATGACATCGAAAGAGAATAGGTGCTGAGAAAACTGAAGCCCAAAGAGGGGAAAGTCTAAAACCACCCAGGAGTTAATAACGAAGCCCATGAGGAAGCCCAGGTCTCCCAGCCATGGCCTTCTATTTTCTCATGCTTCTCACTGCTCTGTGAAAGTTTCCTCTTTATCCTTGGAGCTCTCCGTGTACATTTTTCTTATGAGTTGTCACTTTGCCCTTGATTCTCTTCCCTATTTTCTCCACAATGTGCTTTTCTGTTTGGTTGAACTTTTCCCCTTTTCTGCAAGCCTGGGCCAACTGCCACATCTAAAATGTTACTACATCACGTGGAAGAAAAGGAACAGGAAGCCACATTCCCAACCTTGTTACTCTACCTAGGAACCCTAAGCAGAAAGATGCAAAGCCGCAGACTCTGGCTGGAGGTTGACATAGGTCATGGGACAGGAATAACTAAGCCAAGCTCAGCACCTTTGCCCACAGAGATGTGACTGAGCAGTGATGGTGGGCCATGGAGTTTTCTCTGATATCTGCCTGGGGATTGCTCCTGGAAACCTCAGGAAATCTGCCTTCAAAAGAAACAGACCAAGAAACTCAGGTGTCTTCATCCATTACCTGTTGCTGTAACAAACTATCTGAGGATGGGTATCCATAAAGAACAGAAGTTATTTAGCTCTTAGTTTTGAAGACTGGGAAATCAAAGAGCATGGTGCTGCCACTAGTTAGAGTTTCTTGCTGAATCGTAACATGGCAGAGGGCATGGCATGAAGAGACAAAAAATGCTGGCTAGAGGGAGAGAGATGCTTTTATAAAAAACCACTCCTGTAATAAATTATTTACCTATTAAGCCATTAATTCATGAATGGATTAATCCTTTCATGGTGGCAGAGCTCATTTACTTCCCAAAGTCTCATCTCCCAGTTGGCATTAGCATATGACTTTGGAGATTATGTTTCTAACATGTGAAATTTGGGAGACATAGTGAAACAGTGCCATCGGGCTTTTCTCCCCTCTCTGTGGTGGCATAGGTGTCCTTAAACCTGGCCTTTTCATCTTTCATCCTTCATCTCATTAATGAAGGGTGTGTTTCTTCAAATTCCCTGGGGCCATTTTGAATACCCACTTCTGGTATGACCGCAAAGTTCTCCTCCTCATTCTTTGTAACAGTAGTTGCCTTAGTTACTTTTCTCATTGCTGAGACAAAATACCTGACACCCAAAATTAAAGGAAGAAAGGTTTATTTGCCTCACAGTTTGTAGAGGTTTCAGTCCATAATCAGCATGCTCCAAGGCAGGGTGGGTTGGCAGATGGGCATCACAGAGGAAGAGAGTTCATGTTGTCTACAAGATAGCAAAAGCAACAAGAGGGGCAGACAAGACACTTTCTGTCCCTTGTATTGTTTGCAGGCTACCTTCCCTAAGGTGTGTATATCTCTCATACCCTTAATCCTAGCCAGAACTATGCCAAACCAATCAGTGGACTCATTTACTAATCACACACCCTTAACCCCAGCATCACACACTAGATTCAGCCCTCTCTGAGAAAGCCCTATGTCCACACGAGGCTTTGGGGGAATGTCTAGACACAAGCCATAGCAATAGTGCAATAAAATAGCTACATTTTAATGTTAGGTACTCTGCAAATCTACACCCCAGCATTTCTCATTCTATACATTAGGACACTGACTCATAGTTACCTCAAGGGTGAGAACTGAAGTTGGGCTCAAACTTAGGGACTCTATTTCTCCATTTGTCATCATTCATTCCTTGTCAGTTGTTCATTCATTCACTTGTTCAGCATTTTTTAAATCAAACCATACTATGTACAGGCATAGAACTAAGTGCTAAATTACAGTAATGAATACGCAGACAAGGTCTTGCATTCAAAAAACTAATATTCCATTTGAGCAGTGGGAGAAAATCGATTGAACAATAAAGTGAGTAAATGCACCAATCAGGCTATGTTGGAGAGGAATAGCTCCTGTTATCATGATCAAAAAAGCTACAGTGAACACAGTGGTGGGGGAGCTTTTGATTGGCTGGTTAGAGCAGGTTATTTCATGTTGAGGATGCCAAATACAGTGGGAAGGAAATACTTCACTGGGATGTGGGGTTCCAGGACATGAATGTGATTGAGACAGTGTCAGAAGGGTGGAAAGGAACATGGTTTACCTTGGAAAAAAATCACGGGGTGGTATAGGTCTCTCAAACCACTGTGGGCATTTCTGCTCCTTATCTCCAGCCCTTATTATTATTATATACCACCTCCCCCATAATATTTAATGTCAAGCAAATCTTCAGTCCTTGTTACTTTGTACCCCTCCATGCCTAATAGAGTTCACCATCAAGTTTTTCTTCTGCTGGCACTGAAGGCTGAGGAGGCTGAAAGAACAATTAACAAAGACCACAGCAGCAACCACAACTCTCTGGAGCCTCACCTGGGGCTTTCCTGAGCTGTACTGGCCCCATACCCCCTGCTGTTCCAGTGACGCTAGGTGCCACTCTTTGGTAGCCCTACTTGCCTCTGTCTACAGTCTCCCACCTACATTTTCTCTTTCTAGTCCACCTCCTTCAGACTGGAAGAGTTCCTTGAGCTCATGAATCTCTTCTGGCTCTTCCCAGCTCCTATCTGGTCACCAGGGCTCTGAAGCTCCATGACCAGATCTGGACCTCCTAGATTCCAGTTACCTGGAGAGTGACTACAGAATCACTCCGATTCATCACCTACTGGTGGGAGATTGAGAAGAGACATCCTCCATCACTTGTATGAGAATGTATAAAAAATTGTTCCCTAGTTCTCATTTCTGTCAATGCTGAGCATTGCTCTCTTTGGAAAACACCCCTGAACCTCCAAATGTAAGTAATGAACCCCTCCCATGTGTTTCTAAGGAGGACTGCACTTACCTTTCGTATATCTCCAACCACAAGTGGCTACTGGCCACGTTCCTCTACTGTAGAATGTGGTCACCCTTGAGAGTAGGTCAACATGGTGTCTCTGGGTTAGAGAATCTAATCCCCATCAGTGAATGAGCTTCATGGGTGAACCACTTAGGCTTCAACAGGCTGAATCATGAGGTCTCTGCAGTGCTCTTGCTAGGGGACCTGGGAAAAGAGTATATGTTCATTTCTCTTTCTGACTGTACAACATGTAGAAATCCTTCCAGATTTGGTGGCTCTTCAATTTCCTCTTCTATAAAGCTCAACTGGGAGATCTGTAGGATCAACACAGGTTGGAGGATCAGAAACATGAGTATGTCGAAAACGCTTTCTGATTGTTCAGCAGTAGGCAGGAAAACTGAACTTCCTATGACATCATTGATCATAACTGAGTATGGCAAGGGGATTTCTGCATTTCCAGGAAGACTCTCAGACACCTTTATTTAGAAGGAGGTGAATCCCTGTCACTGCCTGAGTTCTGAACTGGGTCAGAAAGCAGAAGTTGTCTATGGCCATACCATCCTGAATGTAGCTGATCTTGTCAAAAGGCAGAGACACAGAAGATATCCAAAGGGGTTAGGCAGGAGAAGAAAGGTGGCTTCAGACATATACACCACCCAAATACCCTCAAGTTGTCTGTGACCTTCAGATTTCCATTTTTTCTTTTCTTTTTCTTCTCTTTTAAATACAGGGGATTAAATCACTCAGAGTCTTTACTTTCTGAACTTTTTCTTTTTTTGAGACAGGCTCTTGCTAAGTCACTAAGTTGCACAAACTGGAACAGAACTTGCACTCCTCCTGCCTCAGCCCCCCCCCCAGAATGCTAGAATTATAGATGTACGCCCTCACACCTGACTCCTCTTATTTTATTTTGGTTGAACAATGTTGTGATTTTTTTTCTACCTACAAAAATAAAAAAGAATAATTATAAAACATAAATAAAATACAAGTGAGAAAAAAGAATAACAGCAAAACACTTCTTTTATAAAATGTTGACACTTCCTTTATAAAACAAAAACTTTCCCACTGCCAAAATGAGACAATACTATTCATTTATCCAGTTCTTTAGAACCTCTGCTAAAAGACAAGGTTTAGACAAATTAATTTCAAGCAAAACGGTTCGCGAATCTGTGGACTCTGAACCAGAAGGGGTTCAGATATATTAACATCTTGAACTTTTATAAGTCAAATGCAGAAATCATTTGATTGGCTACAGCTGGACATGTATATGAGTTGGCTGCCTGTGCTTGGCTGAAGTTCAGCTGCTTATCATTGGCTGAAACCTGGCTATGCACTACAAAAATATACTCCTAAATTAGGCTTCTATTTTGTATACTTTTTAAGTTAGAAGGTACAGTTTGTTACATAGGAACTCAAAGCACAGAGGCAGCCTTGGTCTAATGGCCTCCTGCTTATTTAATTTAACACCCCTTTGGGGTACTTTTATTGTTGTTTTCATATATGCAACATATTGTGAACAGCTTTCCTTGTGATTGAATGTCATCCCAAAGCAGCTTTTCAAGTGGCTGCTGAGCGTCGTGTGGCATGCAGGTACTAGAATTTATTTCAATAATTCCCCAAGGCTGGATATTTAAATTGGTTCCAAATTTCATTATTATACTGCAGAAACAAACATTCTTTTAGCTAAACTTCTGCACACAAACATGATTATGTCTTCAGGATCAGTTGCCAGAGGTCAACTAGCTAGATCAAGGGTATGAAAGGTTTATTTTCCTGCAACTCCCTCGACTGCCATCTGCAAAGAAAGTTTTCATTCAGCTCCTACCAGTTAGGCACGAGGGTGTATATGTGTGTGTCATTTGTTGACATTTCTTTCATCATAGCCGCCCTTGGTATACAGTTAAACTGTTTGCATTGGGATGATGGATGGCAGGCCATGTAGTTGGCTTTAATACCTACCCAGGAAAAGTCCTAGAGAGAAATCAATAAATTCTATGTATGCCAAGGATGCAGTGTAAATATCAGGAAAACAAGACAATAAATGATTTCAGAAATGTCCCAATGATCTTACTAAACACAACATAGAGATTAATAGGCTATAGGACCTCACGGTTTGGGCACTGACCTTGACTCGAGCAAGATTTCACTGAGAGTTGGTTTTCTAAACTGAGAAATGGAATCCTACCAGCCTTGTTGGAAGGAAATTAAATGAGATTGGTGTGCAAATCCTTAGCATGTAACAAGGATTGTGTAAGCCTCTGCATACAGTAGTTAGAATGGTTATTAAATGGGCACAATAATTTGAGCTAATATAACAAACTGTCTGTTTGAGGCCCTAAAGAGACCATTAAAACTGCTAAGAATGATTTCTAACTAGTGCAACAACTGTTCTCATGGGAAGAGGTGCCCATATGAGTTAATTTCCTTAATTTTTACTGTATTCTGTGTTTTGTAATTCAATGTTTCTTAACACTGGGGAAATTTTATTTGGCTTAGTGACCCTGCTTCCACAACGCTTATCCTGGCAAACTTTCTCCACAGTAAGGGGAGGAAAACTCAGGCTTGGCAACCAGGCCAGAGACTCCCTGGATGGTAACCTGGGGAGCGTACAAGACCTTGGGTCTCAAATAGACCCTGCTGGTTCAGATCTCTTGTGGGACCTGGGTTTTGTTCCATTCGCAAACTCCCCAGGTAATTCTTACACCTGCCTGGCCTTGAGTCTGCATTGAAAATAATAGGAGGCAACCATACGCTGAATGTTTGGGGATTTCTAGAAAGAAGGATGAGATTTTTGTCTGGTTTAAAGTTAGCTTTAGCAGTATACACCTTAGCATAGGGGAATTCTTTATGGTCTCACCCCAGCTTTCTTCCTCACCTCAGCTCTTGGTCCCATATACCCTAGCTTCGTGGATGCATGAGCTACTCTGGAAGCACAGCACACAGTGTCTTGTTTCTGGATGTCTGCACAACTTTATGGTTTAATTTCTGTTGTTTGGCTTCCACTCTTGAGCCCTTCTCTATGCCACACACTTTGCTAAGCATTGTCTTCTTCTTCATTATTATTGTTAAATATTTCAACAGTAGTAGAAGATGATAAATACCAATGTGTACCTCACACTGACTTAACAAAGGTAATAGTTTACATCTACTACTTCAGATTCCTTTTGTCTTAAGAAATAAAACTTCACAGATATGTCAGAATCTTACCCTCCAGTCCCATTTTTCTCCCTCCTTTCCTGGAAAAAATTACTTGCCAAACATTGCTAGGCAGCCTTCCTCCCATGTTTTTCATACATTTCCTACAAATGTAAATATAAAGCACATACAGTGTCTTTTGCTTAACCCCTGCCCCCTTTTGGTGAAAGCACATAACACGAAAGCCCTTTTAACAAGTTTTGGAATGCACAATACTGTGTAGCTAACTGTACATAGTTTGTTGTAGAACAGATCTCTAGATCTATTTCTCATCTTGCATGGCTGAAACTCTACCCACTGGGCAGCAACTCATTCCCCTACTTAGGCCCACAGCTAATATGCTGCTTTCTGCTCTAATGAGATTAACTATTTTGATATTTCATTTTTGTGGAATCATGCTGTATTTGCGCTTCTCTACAGGGCTTGTTTCACTTTGCATAATGTCCTCAAGGTTTACTTTTCTAAACGTGAATAATATGCATATCCATGTTCATGGCAACATTGTTCTCAGTACCAAAGAGTTGGAAACAACCTAGATGTCCCTTGATGGGTGAATAGATACAGAAAATACAGTATATACATACAATGGGATATTATTAAGCTCTTTCATTGTAATGCATTACCTAATTTAATCTGTGAGGGTGTTGTGAGTCCCACCTTACAAATGAAGAGACAAAGGCACAATTAAATAATTTTCCCCAAAAAGGAAGATTCTTGCTTAGCTTCCAGATCTTCAACTTTCACCCTCGCCATCCACTTCCCCAAAACATAGAGAAAGATCAGACTTCCTCCTCCACTCTTTCGGTCCACACACTCACCAACACCACTGCACCAGCTCCAGTAAAAACTATATAGGACAGATTACCTATCTGTCTCACTCTGGAGGATAGGGCCTGGGCCCTGGCCCAGCGAGGGACCCCAGTACACACCACAGCATCGGGTCCCTGATAAGTAAGCAATAAGAAGTTTCTAATGAATGATAGAAGAAAACCGTGAGCAGAAGTAATCAGTGAGTAGACAAGAGGTGACTCTGCTCTGAGCTGCTCCAATGCTAAATGAGCAGACTACATGTGAAAACACATTTTCATTCATGCCTTTGGTTTACTACCAACCAGAACTCTTCATTTTCTATTTCATGAGCTTGCCAGAACTTCCCTCCAAATAATTAGAAAAACCTCAGTTTACTTCTGCTTGTTAAGATACTAAGCAAAGGAAACCCCTCTCTCTTGCCCAGGCCTGGTGTTGCACATACTTGCAGATAAAAAGTGAGTGGCCAAGAGCAAGAAGAAGCCTGAATTGGTACCAAAATGTGTCCATTGCATTGACATATCTGGGACACTCCTGAGACATCGTCCTCAGGAGTTCTTCCCACTCTGCTGGATACTCACTCCTATTTCAGATTCTCGTATGTCACTGTTGATACAGGAAAATAGAAACTCCCAACCTGAACAATATCTGGGACAAAGATAAAATTGAAGAATGAATTTTAGGAACAATGGAGGTTAAGAGCAGAATATATTTATTGAGGAAAAGAAAGCTCCTGTCCAACAAAGAGACAGAAGGGGCCCCAAGTGGATTGCCAAGGACCTTGCCCTTCCCAGAGACTTTATAGAGGAAAACCCTGAGGTGAGGCGGGTCCAAGATAAGGGAAAATGGGAAACTGCAAGGTGGGCATGAGGTGGGACAAAACTATGGTCAGCCAATAAGATTACAAATATAATTGTTCAGGTAAAATTGAGTAAACTGGGATCAAATGGGGAAGTGAGTCATGTAACAAGCGGGTATGAATACAAAACAGGAGTTTCTCCTGTAGAGGGTTGGGCTAGTGACTCTTCCTGGCTTCTTCAAGAAGTTTGCTACCTGTTTAGAATATCAATCCCTGATGTCCATCCCTACAGAGGTATGTGGGTGCATTTGTTTAGTCTTTTGTCTTGAGGTCTGGCCCACAGCAACAGGTCTCCATTCATAAGGTATCTTGTCTTCCTTGGCTCCTGTGAGGGCCTGGCCCT